GTTGCTTTTATTTGGGTATAAAGACCAATCGCACTTTTAGTCACGTGATTTAAAACTGCCAATCAAATCTCGAATCAGATATAGCTTTGATTGGTTGTCAATCATGCATAAAAAATTTTTAATACCGTAGTCAAAAAAAACCTATTGTTACGTCCTATGGTCATCGCTTATGATCTTTATTTTTTGGAGATTAACTTTTTAATGGATTTTCAAATGTGGGAATAAAGCTTATTTACATGCATTCTTGTATACCATCACTAGTGCAAAATTATTGTACCAAATATTATGGAGCGAACTATCATATTTTGAGATAGGAAATGCTTGTGAAATTTCAGGGTTTTCCGGTTGTATTTGGAAGGTAAAAGCATGTTAGTAGGTACATAATGAAAGAATGAAAGACTTTCGGATGTATACTTGCCTTATTTAGAGCAAGTTCTTCTTGTGCCATTTTAGACGTTTATATAAAAATTCAAACAAAAAAAAAAAAAAAAAAAAAAAAAAAAGAAAAAAAAAATTCTTATCATTTTTTTTTTTTAAAAATGACAAAAGAAACTATAAAAAAAAAAGTTCGTCAGTCCTATACTATTCAAGAAAAGGTGATTGTCGTTCGATATGCCCTTCATGAAAGTAATACCAAGGCCGCTGCAAAGTTTGGTTTGGACAAGTCTCAAGTTGGCCGTTGGGTAACGAAACTAAAGGACCAATTAAGTGAGGTTGGCTACAAAAAGTCCCGTCGTCTTGTTGGTGGTGGTAGAAAGGAGTTTTTTCCTGAAGAAGAAGCTCGGCTTTATGCCTGGATTGTTGAAATGCGTAATGCAGCACTTGCTGTAACCTATAATAGTCTCAAGTTAGAGATGTTAAGGATTGTTTCTGAAACTGCTTTAAAAAGTCATGAACTTGCAAAAAGGCAGCTTGCAAGTAGTTTCAAGGTTTCTTCTACATGGTTAATGCGTTTTTTAAAACGCCATAAACTTACCCTACGCCGAAAAACAAAAATAGCACAAAAAATGCCAGCAGACCTTGAAGAAAAGTTGCTTAATTTTCAACGGTATGTGATCCAGTTGCGCCGTATGAAGAATTACCTTTTGAGCAACATTGCGAACATGGACGAAACCCCTGTCTGGTTCGACATGGCTGGTGATCTTACGATCGAAGAAATCGGTGCCAAAACAGTGCATATTCGCACAACTGAAAATGAAAATAATCGCTTTACAGTAGTTTTAACATGCTTTGCTGATGGCCAAAAGCTTCCCCCCATGATTATATTTAAGGGCCAAAGATGGCCTAAAACTAAGCCTTCACCTCCTCCTGGTGTAATTGTTTCCTTTCATGAGAAAGGTTGGATGGATGAACAGGGTATGTTGACCTGGGTTGATAATTATAGTAGAGACCGACCAGGTGGTCAGGAAAGTGAGCCTTCTCTTCTTGTATTTGATTCATTTAGAGGACATCTTACTGATGCTGTTAAGACAAAAGTTAAAGAAAATAATAACGATCTTGTTGTTATTCCTGGTGGTTTAACCTCTGTGTGCCAACCACTTGATGTTTCTATTAATCGTCCTTTCAAAGTAGCACTTCGTCGCCACTGGCATGCATGGATGGTAAGTGGTGGTTCTGGAAAAACCAAAAAAGGAAACTTGAAATGTGCAGACCTACGTACTGTATGTGAATGGGTACTTGCATCGTGGGCAGAAATTAGTCCTGAGATTATTCAACGTGCCTTTCGCAAGTGTTCTATTTCTAATGCCATGGATGGTTCAGAGGATGATGAAATATACTATGATGAAATCTTTGATAATAAAACTCACCAAACCTCTGATGAAATTCGCTGTGATGAAATTCGCCGTGATGAAATTCACCGTGATGAAATTTACTCTGATGAAATTTGCCGTGATGAAGTTTCAAGTAAAAATATTATCATTATCGATTCTAGTGAAGATGAAGATGATAATACTAATCAGGATATTTTTGTTGAAGACGACGAAGAAGTTCTTATTTTTGCAACAAATCAATAGAAATGTATTGTCAAAAGTTTTTTTAACAATTTAATAAAACTTAGACATAAGTTAGTAATGATCAAATGTAAATTTCCACCCTGACATTTTTTAGATGCTTGTTTTCTATACTACTAGTTTTTTTTTTTTTTTTTAAGTGAAGACATTTATGAAGGATCCAATAAATCTTGACAGGGACGTCGTCCTGGCAGGTAATTTAAATTCTATGTGACTGTCATCCCAACAGGTCACATTTACGGCTTTCACTATACGAGTATTTCAGATCTCTCTATTCCTTCCTATTCATGACTGCCGTCCTGGCAGGTCATACAAATTAGCATTACTCTAACGCGGGTAGGGATCGATATAACCAGAACAAAAGTCGGGTTTGCAAAAAAGACAAAATTGGTTACAATCAATTTCCCCATGCTTACTAATATACTATGATTAATTATTACCTCATACTTATCCAATTACCTTATACTCACATACTAACGAACATTGACTCATACAATCGTTTGACCTAATGATCGATCGAACATGTGACTGTAACCGGGCTTGTCACATGTTCGATCATTGACTGATTTAACAAAAGCTGCCTCTATACATACATATCGAGTAGTTTTGTACTTGCATATGTATAATTAACGGCATATAAAATAAATAAACATCGTATGCACACAAATGTATATAATTATTGCATGATTTTATTGGTTCTATATATCTCATGTAACAGTATTCGAAAACTAGGGTTGCTTATATTCGGTAACCAGGGTTTTTTTGTTTTTTTATCATTTTTAGCATTTGAAAC